CCCGCAACCCGCAACCCGCAACCCACCACCCACCAGCCACATCCCCAACCCACAACCCCAACTCACAACCCACAACCCCAACCCCAACCACAACAACCACAACCACAACAACCACAACCACAATCACAACCACAATCACAATAATCACAACCACAATCACAACCACAATCACAATAACCACAACCGCAACCACAACCACAATCACAACAACCACAACGACAACAACCACAACAACAACACCAACGACAACTACTACAACTACTACTGCTACTACTACTACTACTACTACTACTACTACGACGACGACCACTACCACCACGACGATGACATGCAGTTCTTGCGGCTGAGTCTGCCTGATTCTGTGCTGCAGCCATCGCTGCCCGGGCTTTGTCCAGCGCTGCTGCCTTCTCTGATGCCAGATCACGCCACAGCCAAGTTTTGAGCGTCTTCTGATCTTCATTTTGACCATGCTCCGTTTAAGACACAGGCCTTGCGAGCTTTCTCTTCGGCGAAAGCCTTCCGAGCCTTCCAGAAAAAAGTCGCTTGCATGGTGTGTACGTGGGCTCGTTCCACAGCTCCCTCATGTCTCTTCGCGCGCTTGCCTTCTCGATGCTGGAGTCCGGCGGAGCCTCCTCTTCCTTTGACCGGCCTGAGCCCACACTGACTTACAAGACCGAAGCTGCCAACAGGTTCGCTTCGAGAGCCGTGTGAACGAATGAATCGCACCGGTGAAAGCACGTCAGATCGCCCGAGCAAGCTAGCCGCTAGTCCCACAAATCATCCAGTTGGACGGCCTACGACCATTCCCCACCGCAGGTCCCAACCTTGCACACTTCGACTGGCCAGCAATGGCCGCTCTCAAATTCGTGCTGTTATGTCCTTGAGACACTATGTTACAACTCATACAATGCAGTATAAAAAACAGAACAAAGTACAATATACCGAAACCCTAAGTTATGGAAGATCTGGGATCAGGGCCTTCGGAAGCATCCACAGGGCCTTCGCCCCGAGCCTCTGCACGGGCCGCCCGGGCCTCATTGGGCCGCAGGGCTGCTTTGTTCGGTCCCCCTATAAGGGTTCCTATAAGGGCTCCCTTAAGGGTTTAGGGTTTAGACATGATTACCTGCACAGGTGCAATGTGTATATGTGTATATCTACGCCATGCTGTGCGCAGGTTGTGACGAAACTCGTACTTTCTTGCCATGTATGCATGCCGCATGCGTAACGCGCACCTGCAGGTACAAGCGAGCTCGGTGCATCGCGTTTATGCTCATCAACATAATTGCAGAAGGCTGAGTGACTCACCAGTGATCAGTTTAAAGTGACTATAGCCACCGTTGCCCGCCATGGCCGTCATCAGCACCGTCGTCATCAGCATGGCAATGATCACTTCTCCCTGCTGCCATCCTATCACCACATCATCTTCACCCTCACACAAAGATGAGACACTTGGGGTCTGGTTACGGGTGGAAGATTGGGGTGTCTAGGTTTCGGCTGTCTGGATGTCTGGGATCACAAACGGCGACATGTGATCATGAGACCGCTCACGGCTCACGGCTGCCTTAGAAGCAATTGCAAGAAGAGAAAGATCCTAATGAAACATCGCATAGCTAGAACAGGAGCCGCAAAACTGTCAAATTAAGACACTTTAACAATACCAAGACAACCCAAACGAGATTCCTATAGGGCTGCGTTCGACATCCCTGCCTATGATAAAAACTGCTCATGCAGAAAGCACACTGTCAGCCACATGAACTTACCAAGAATGACAAATGTTCAACAAGTGAGTGAAGAAACAACTCAACACATATATATATAAAGAGGTATAGCAGCAAGGTCCTGGCTACAAACAAGAAAGCCAAACACATAAGCATGTATCTATACATAACTGTACATCGGTTAATATATATATATATATGCATGCATTTACTGTGGCTACTGTCTCTGTCTGTCTTCTTGCCTGCCTATCTATCATTACAATGTCTTTCAGTAAAATCTAGTACAACTAAAAGATATGTATGCATGTACTTACCTATGCATGTCCGTAAGTATACTTGCCGTCTCATACCGGAAAATAGTGACGAAATGATGGTGAGAATAGATGGTGCGAAGACTTCGTCGTTGCACATCTTGTCGGATCTTGCTACCGTTCTCCTCGTCTGTCCCGTAAGCTGCAACCGCAACTAACAACAGCGTGGTAGGTCGTTTGGCCGAGCGGCCCGTTCCAGTGCCGCCGCTTTCCTGGCCTTCTCTTGCTCGAAAGCCTTCGGAAAAAGTCGGGACTCTGAGGGACGCTGAGGGCTACCTGCCATTTGCGGGTTGTAAGACGAGGTGTCAAAGGAGAGTGCGAACTATCGTGGCAGCTGTGACTGCTTCGGCGAACTCTACCGATTTCTCTGTGCACGCCTGCTTGGCACGATCCATCCCTGCACCGGCTTCGCGTGTCTCCTTCACACAGTCCAATCAAAATGCTTCACGGTGCAGTATATGCGATGCCTGCAGCATTAGACAACAGCACGTGCGACTGTCCTCACTGCGTGAGATGTGTCCAACTACAAAAGCACGAGAGTACTGAGTACTCGCATTACGACGAACGCAGACCTCGATTTTGTTCTGCATGCCGTGATAATCAAAGCGACCATGACTGTCGAGACTACCGTTGCTGCAACAGGTGCTAGTTGGAGCCAACTCAACCTCTCCCCAGCCGCGCCTGTGCCGGGGCTGCCTGGTTCTCGGCAGAGGCCCTGTGCCGAAACTTCAAATTTGCGGGAAAGGCGGGCCGGGCGGCTCAGT